AGACAGACAGACAGACAGACAGACAGACAGACAGACAGACAGATAGATAGATAGAGATGCGAGTATTCCTTTTGTATGGGATGGAGTATTTTAGATAGATAGATAGACAGACAGACAGACAGACAGAGAGATAGATATGCGAGTATTCCTTTCGTATGGGATGGAATATTTTAGATAGATAGATAGATAGATAGATAGATAGATAGATAGATAGATAGATAGAGATGCGAGCATTCCTTTTGTATGGGATGGAATATTTTAAATAAATAAATTCTAAATAAATAAATAAATTTTTAGATAGACAGACAGACAGAGATGCGAGTATTCCTAGATGCTCTTATTGGCAAGATGAAAACTGTGCACGGGGGGAGAGTGGGCAATTCAAAGTATTTCCATTGAGGAAATGCATCACAGTTAAAACGGGATACCTCCTGCGATTTTAGGCCAGTGCAAAAGATTTGTACTACTAAGAGAGCAGGGGCTCTGCTCCCCCTCACCCTGGAGGCTGAACTCCCTTCCAGATCAATTCTTGGGGGGTGGGCCAAAGGACAAAACGGCCCCCTTGTAGCTTTAAGCGCCCTCCACCTGTCACTAAACCATTTCAGCCTGCCAAAACAGGGTGACCTGCACAAATGCAGGGGACACGGCCAAATCGTGGGCCTTTGGGGAAACGGGGAGAGGGCGTCCCTGGTTCTGGGCTGCTCTGGTGCTCCCCCTGTGCTGAGTTTTCAGCTCTGAAGCTCCTCGGGGAAGGGACCTGGCGCTGCACGAGCGACCGCCACACCTGGTCCCATCTGCAGCCAGCTTGCTTCTCCTACCTGTGACCTGGAGCTGCTGCCGGGAGAGCTGCAGGCGCTGGAGGTCCTCGTCGGCTTCCACCACGTGGGCGTCGAAGGGCAGGTCGTGGGAGGTCAGCAGCCGGGGGCTGTACTTGCCGGCGTCGTAATCATCCAGGCTTTGCTGGATGAGGTCCTCCTCCATCAGCACGGCCTCCCCATCTCCCTCGGCTTTGGCCTCAGGCTCCGGCTCAGCCGCGGACTCGGCGGAAGGGGGACCCGGCTGCACTGGGGTGCTCTCCTCTAGCTCCAGCCTGCCAAGAGGGAAGGGGGCAAGTTGCACTGCACACCTTCTCCAGCAGCAGGGGGCAGCGCAGCGCAGAGCACCAAGGCCCACCTCAACCCCTCCCCGCTTGCCGAATCCACATTGATTCATTCATTCATGTACCAGAAGCATTTATATTCCGTCCTTCCACCAAGTGCTCAGGATGGCTTACGAAATATTCATCAGCTGCACCCCTACCTGGAGAACGACTGCCTGGCGACAGTGACACACACGCTGGTGACTTCCCGCCTTGACTTCTGTAATGCGCTCTGCGTGGGGCTACCCTTGAAGACGGTCCGGATACTTCAGTTGGTTCAAAATAGAGCTGCCAGGCTGCTGACGGGGACGGGGTGTTGTGTTCACATGACTCCAGTCCTCCGTCAGCTTCACTGGCTTCCCACTGAAGTCCGGGCCCAATTCAAGGTGTTGGTGATGACCTATAAAGCCCTAAACGGCTTGGGTCCTGGTTACCCGAACGAGCGCTTACATCCCTATATGCCTGGCCGCCCCTTGAGATCTGCGGGAGAGGCCCTTCTCCGGGAACCCTCCGTGAAGGAAATTAGGAGGGAGGGTACTCGGAGGAGGGCTTTCTCTGCGGTGGCGCCCCATCTATGCAATGCGCTCCCTAGAGAGGTCCGCCTGGCGCCGTCATTATTTGTTTTTCGGCGCCAGGCGAAGACCTTTTTATTTAAGCGTCATTTTAATTGTTAACAATATTTGCTTATTTATCTGGCCAGGGCAACTTCTTTTATATTGTTATTTATTTTATATTATTATTTTTATATTGTTATTTTTGTATTTTATGTTGTGAGCCGCCCCGAGGCTTCGGCGAATGGGGCGGCATAGAAATGTTTTAATAAATAAATAAATAAAATATAAAAGTACAATGTGCATGCCTCCAGCTGTTCTCCATCTCCCCGATGTTCCCAACTGTAAGCCTCCTGGGGCAGAGAGCAGATTCTTTTAATTTGAGTTCATGTTATTCTGTAACATGCCATGTTTCCCAATGGCAATATTAATCACCAGAGAGTTTCTAAAAACCAGGGAGGATCTCCCCCTGCCCAATTCATTTCATTCCCTCCCTGCATTTCTGCCAAAGCTCCCTGGCACTTGGGTTGGGAACTTCACAACATGACAAACTGAAAGAGGCCAAGTGAATTAAATGTGATATAAAATTCCTAATGCACAAAGTTTAAAATAATTTAAACCCACTAAAAAACACTCCAGTTTCAGCACTCAATAAAACAACCCTCAATTCACATGACAAACCCCACCGGGTTTATTCACCAAGAATATCTATAGGGGAGAGAGAAGTGCAGCATGGCAAACCACTGCCTGACAAAGATTTATACATTTCAACAGAGAAAAAAACTCAAGCAGGGCCCAGCACCAGTCTCCCCAAAAAACGTAGAAAGAAGACCAAGGCACAGCAAGAATGAACTTCAGTGTCTCCACACCAGTGCCCAGAGTATGGAAAACAAGCAACACGAACTTGAGGTCATAGTACACGAGGGCAATTATGATCTTGTAGGAATAGCTGAAAGTTGGTGGGGTGACTCACATGACTGGAACTCTACAATTCATGGGTACAGCCTGTTCAAGAAAAATAGAAAGGACAAAAAGGGAATTGCACTATATGTGAGAGACACATATCCTGCACAGAAATTCAAGAAGAGGAACTTAGTAGCCCCATTGAAAGCATCTGGCTAAATTTAAATGGAGCTAATAAGAAGAGAGTTAACATAGTTATGGGCATCTATTACCATCCACCCAGTCAAAACGAGGACAAGGGATGCAACCTTCCAATAGCAACTTGCCAGCATTTCCAAGAATGATGTGGTCATCAAGGGGGACTTCATTTTCCCTGATTTATTCTGGGAGTCAAATTCTGCCAAGCATGGCCCCACCAAGAGATTCTTGACATGTGTTGCTGACAACTTTCTCCAGCGGAAAGTAGAGGAAGGAATGAGAGGATCAGCATCCCCGATTTAATGCTACCTAACAGGGAAGGGGTGGTGGACAAAATAACAACCATGGGGACTCTGGGGGAATGTGATGGTGTGATACCTGAATTCTCAATTGTGAAGGAGACAAAGGGTAGCTGGAGCCAAGCAAGCATCCTGGACTCCAAGAAAGCCAATTTTAACAAACTCAGAAAAATGATAAGTGAAGTGCCAGGGCAACACATCCTTAAAGGGAGAGATGTCCAATAGGGGTGGGAAATCTTGAAGAAGATTCTCCAAGCACAACTATGAACAATTCCATCAAGAGAAAAGTGCAGAAGACAGCAGAGGAAGCCCACGTGGTTCAGTGACATCCAGAAAGAAAGAAAGAACATGTACAGGATGTGGAAGCAGGACCAACCACGAAAGAAGAATATAAATGAAGAGCAAGGAATTGTGGGAATAGCATCAGGAAGACTGAAGCAGGAAATGAACTGAGAATAGCAAGGGATGCGAAGCACAGCAAGAAAGCCTTCTTCAGATACACCCAGAACAAAAGACATGAGAAAGAAAAGGGTGTACAACTACTTAGAGTGGATGGCAGAGTGATAACCGATGACAAAGAAAAGGCAGAGGCGCTCAATTCCTACTTTGCTTCCGTCTTCTCCCACAAGGAAACCTGCAATCAAGAGGAAGTGTGAGCTGGAAGGGAGAGATGGCAGCCCAAAATTAACAGACAAATGGTCAAGGAATACCTAGGTGGAAGAAACACTTTCAAAGCTCCAGGGCCCGATCACCGCCAGCCCAGAGTCATAAAATGGCTAGCGGAGGGACTCTCAGAACCACTGGCAATTATCTTTGATCAATCCTGGAAAACGGGAGAGGCGCCAGACCACTGGGGACGGGCTCATGTTGTCCCAGTCTTCAAAAAGGGGGGAAAAGGACGAACCTGGGAACTACAGACGGTTAGTCTGACGTCAATCCCTGGAAAAATTCTGGAGCTAATTTAAAAATCCATTTTCAAGCCTCTTGAAGGAAATGCAGTGATTAATAGGAGCCAGCATGGGCTTATCAAACAGAAATCCTCTCAGACTAATTTAATCTCATTTTTTGACTGGGTAACCTCCCAACTGGACAAAGGGAACAGTATGGGCAGAATCTACCTAGATTTTAGCAAAACTTTCGACATAGTGCCACATGACATTCTGCTAAGCAAATTAGCAGAAACTGGACTAGATGGAAAAACTATTAGGTGGATTCAAAATTGGGTGCTAAATTGGACACAAAGAGTGCTCATCAATGGTACCTTCTCAAATTGGATGGAGGAAACTGGGGTGCCACAGGGTTCAGTCCTGGGCCCAGTGCTCTTCAACATCTTTATTAATGACTGAGATGAGGAAGCACAAGGAAAGAGAATCAAATCTGCAGATGATACAAAACTGGGTAGAACAGCAAACGTCCAAAGACAGAATGAAGATCCAGGGCGATCTTGATAAACTTGACAAACTTGAACACTGGGCTGAAGGCAACAGAATGAGATTCAATGAGAACAAGTGCCAAGTTCTCCACCTAGGAAAAAGAAACCAAAAGCATCGGTAACAAGATGGGGAACATGTGGCTCAACAGAACTGACAAAGAAAAAGATCTTGGAGTCATTGTGGACAACAGGCTAAACATGAACCAACAATGCGATGCAGCTGCCAAAAGGGCAAGTGCTATTTTGGGATGCATTAACGGAAGTATTACTTCCAGATCACGAGATGCAGTAGTTCCCCAATACTCCTCACTAGTCAGACCTCGCCTGGAATACTGTGTCCAGTCCTGGGCACCAAGATCTAAGAAAGATGCAGGTAAATTAGAAAGGGTCCCGAGGAGGGCAACAAAAATGATCCAGGGCTTGGAAACACTGCCCTGTGCAGAGAGACTGAGAGAACTGGGCATGTTCAGCCTTGAGAAGGCTGAGGGGGCACCTGATATCCCTCTGTAAGTCCCTCAAAGGCTGTTGCAAAGAGGAAGGTCAAGCTCTCTTCTTGCTGATGCCAGAGTGTAGGACACGGAATAATCCAGTCAAGTTGCGGCAACTGAGATTCAGGCTGGACATCAGGAGAAGCTTCCTCACTGTCAGAGCAATGCCACAGTGGGACCAGCTGCCCAGAGAGGTGGGGGATCTCCACACTGGAGCCATTCACAAAGAAGCTGGACACCATCAGAGTGGGATGGTGTGAATTGGTGTCCCGCAACAATGAATACTGTCACAGGGCTTCTAATATGAAACATGTCCTGGCACAGTTTTCAAAGGGATAAAACAAAGAAAATACTATATGGGAACATACGCATTTCGGCACAACAGCACCATGAGGCTGGGGTGAAGAGCGATTTCAGCAAGTGCCGAGAATGTGTGAGCTTTCAGTCTCAACCACAGAGGGAGAATCATTTCACAGGACAGACATGGCGACGTAACGTTTACAGCCGTTCCAATTAAATTGTGGCCCTTAAAAAAAAAAAACGCATGCAGGGCAACAACTTTTAGAAACTCCAGAGGAATTGATGTAACATACTGACTAGGAGACCACATTAGGGATCGGGGAGTCCCTGGGTGGAATCTTGCTTTTGCCCCAGCAGGATAATGAAATGGCCTTAGAAACAGCAGATGGGGGTCAGACTAGATGGCCTCAGCGGTCCCTTCTGACTTGCTGTTTCTGTGCTTCTGTCACCCCTTCAGGCTGCCCTGTGGCAACGATGCAGACTCACCTGACAAAGCTTATTAAACACCTGGCACCGGGGCTCCTGCCCATGCACCTACCTCTGACTGCTGCCAGCGCCGGGGGACAGCGGCTCCTTCTTGATGATGGGGAACAGGGGCTCCGTCTCCACGCCTTGCTCCTGCTTCAGTTTGTACAGCTTCTGGCGCAGGACGTCCTGGTGCCGCTCCCTCAGCCTGCAGTCCGTGGGAGAGAGAGGGTTGGCACCGTGGAGGACGGCTCCTGCCGAGCCGGGGCACGTGGGGGACCCTGCCACCCGCAGAGAATGGGGCTGGAGGCAAGCACCCCCCTCCTCCTGCCCCACAGGGTGAGTCTAACCCCAAATGTTTTCTATGAACACATGCTGCCACTGCTCAAAGAACTGGCTTTCTTGTTGGGTTAAGCCACTGGCTTTAAAAGGCACTGGCTGTTGCCACTTCGTATTGTCCCTGTTTGTAATTTCCTCTCCCCGCCACTCCGTGTTTGGTCCTCACAGGTTGACCCTGCAGTTCTCGGACAAAAGCAAAAGGGAAAAATGTGCAGGAAATCAGTCCAGTCAATACAGACCTTTCCTTTCCCTCCTTCCTCGAGTTCCAAAGACGCAAGCCCACCCTTTGTAATGAAATTCTTTTACTCTACAGCAAAAAGGAGTTTAACTCTAAACAGTCTTTTCGCAAAGCTGGAAGGAGAAGCTTCTGTCCATGGAAAAAGATGAATCCAAACATTGGTCCCTCCCTTTCAGTATGGTTGCTGGTCCCAGTTTGGGGGGGGGGGTTCTCACAAGACGACCAGAGTGACTGAGCCCCTCCAGCTGCACAGCCCGTCTCTCCCGCTGCCTCCTTGTGAGGTCAAGGACTGGGTCCCGCTCTCCTCTTGAAAGCCCTTCCATCTGTTCCAAGGCAGATCGGCTTTCACAACCAGTGTGGGAATCATCTCTGGGCACCCACGAAGGAGCTTCAAAGGGTCTCCCCCCACACCAGCTCCTTCTCCACGCCCCCAGAACACAACAGCATTCCAACAGCATAGTCTATGATGAGCGAGGGACTAGCCCACACATTTCCGTGGCCTTTAACTACGCTAATTTATTCCAATTCAATCTCGTGGCACCATAGATGTATTCCCGGGAGCCCTGAGCTGGGGAGGGGTGTGGCATTCGAAGCCGCAAGGGCCGCTGCCGGCCCAGGCAGCTGTCCCACCTGGCCCGGGCCATGTAGGCCTTCAGCTGCTGCAGCAGGCTCTCCCAGTAGCCGATGTCGAGGTTGGGGCCCCCGGCGTGGATCTTGCCCTCGATCCCCTGGTAGATGACTTGCAGCTGGCTGTATGTCTTCCCCTTGAAGACTGACTGCACGTCAGAGCTGACAGAAGCGTTCACCCCCTCTCGGCGCTCACCTGCAAGGCGCAGGGGCAGAAGCAGATGCCATGAGCAGAAACTGGGCCGTGCTGGGGCAGGGCTGAAGCCTCAGCCCGGAATCCCAATTCAGCCCCCAGAAGACCAGGTGTTCTCCCCTGACCCCACTGACCCAGTCGTCCCAAGGCTTGGTTGCCAGCAGGAAGAGCCTTAAGCCAAGCTGTGTGGGCATGTGCCCCAGAGAATCCCCAAAATGGAAAGGAAATCCATTCCGCAGCCGCCTGAACACAGAACCTGGTGATGTGGGGCAGACTGCACGGCGTGAACTAACCGCGTTGCGCTCGCTCTGACCTCAATGCCCCCCAGACAGGGAGGGGAGAGTGCCGGCACCCTCCGTCATCAGCCCTTGATCTGCTGCTGCCCAACAGGCGGGCTGCGCTCTGAGCAGGGGAAGCGCCGTGGCCGTGGCCACGGCGTGCCTGCTTTGCAGCGGGAAGGTCTGAACTTCCGTTCCCAGCTGCTGCCGTGGGGGGGAACCCCAGCCCCGCTCTGCTCAAGAGCAGCTGCCAGTCAGAGCCTGGATGGGCCACGGCGGCTTCCAATGTCCCCACCCTCCTGCCTCCTACCCGGTCCTTTCCCAGCAGCCTCCAACTTCCGGAGCTTGGCTATTTCATCTTCGGTGATGATGGTCATATCTCTCCAGAAATCCACATTTTTCCCTTGCTCTAGCTCCATGTAAACCTGAAATGAGAAAGTGGAGGGGTGAAGCGTCTGTCTGCTGGAGCAGCACACATCTCAGGCGCAACCTGCTTATGAAGTCCGGCCCCAGAAAGGCATCCCCGAGAATTGTATGGCATGCTTAACCCTTTCACCAATGTACAGAGAGGGGACAGTAGGGGTGCGGAGATGGTGTGGAAATGTGTCGCATCGGATCAAAGGGAAGTGCGAAGTGACGGGGAAGAGAAAGGGGACTTAGGATCCCGTTAATCAGCAAAGTGCCCCACTCTTTCAGAGGAACTTACGGGGGAGTGAGGGACTGCTGAGGCGGGGAGCTTCCCTTCCATAAACCTTCGGAAGTGAAGCTAGTGCAAAATCCAAGCCACCATTTTTGAATTGTCTTATTGTCTACGTTAGATGTACACTTAAGGAAAGTTTAGGGTTAAGGGTTAGGGCTTGCACCCATTCTGGATGTGCCCAGCACCCCTATTCCTGGGGCGTTTTCAGCACCCATGGAAGGCCATGTTTATTTCTCCAGGCATTCAGGACTTCTCCAAGCCACAGAGAAGGGGGAAGAGGGCATTGGGGTGCACGGGGGTGGGGGAGGCCAAAGAGCCAAGATGAAACTGCCCTGTAGCTCTCCAACCTCTGCTCCACTCAATTCTTTTAACCGGTTCCAGATGGATGGGCAAAAGAAGCCCACTTTGTGAAAAGACAGGGAGACGATGCCCTCCACCGCTCATCCTCAGGAAGTTCGGAAACCTCTGTTCCAGTTTACTGCAAGCCGTACAACAGATGGCTTCATGCTCTGACTGTGTCTTACAACAGGATTGGTTTTCGTTTTGAAGGTTCGCTTTACAAAGCCCGGAGAGCTTCAGCTATTGGGCAATCATAAGAAGAGGATCAGTGGAATAAAAGACGATGCCAACAATGAATCGAAGGAACTACTCAACTCCTGCTCACAATGAAGAGTTTTGTGGGTGGGACGGAGGGCCTGTCCACAATTCTCCTTTGGGAAGAACCAGGGCTCCTAGGAGAGAGATGTGGTGGGTGGAAATACTGAGGGCTCAGTTCACTCTTGCTTATTGATTAATGAATACAGCATGCAGAAATATGACATGGACGTGAATGAATGAATGAATGAATGAAGACCCTTTTGGTCTGGACATGCTTGTGGCCTGCCCCGGCAAGGCGATTCTTCAGTGGATCTGCCCCAAAGGGGAGGAAGGTCGGTCCATCCAGCCAGGCTACCTGGATGTCCTCCAGCAAATCCTCCATGTCTGAGACGGTGAGTCCGTTCAGGAAAGTGTACGGCTCGTGCATCTCCACGGCCAGGTCATCATCCTCGGCGCTGATGTACTTAGCTAGCAGGTCGATGGGCTTTGCTCGTCCGTCTCGGATCCGGATTTTGGAGCTGCCAGGAAAGGAGAATATGAGGAAAGAGGTCAGGCTGCAGGAAGAGCTTCTGCACAGCATCTCTGAACGGGAAGGTGGTGCCAGGAGGGAAGGGTTTAAGGAAGAGAGCACAGCGCAGCTCCTAGCCCTGGTTCAACCCTGAGCATTTCCAGGTAAAGGGTCATGTGGGAGGGGATGGGAGAGACCTGGAAGGGGCCCCAGGAGGGGCTGCCCCGACTCAGCTGTTCAGCAGAAGGTAAGCAGGATGTCCTCACTTCTCAAACAAAAAGCTTCCTGCTTACAAGAGACTCTCTATCCATTGGCTCACAATTTAAAACAGCCTCCCCCAACCTTGCACCTTCCAGACACGTTTGGACTGCACCACCCAGAACTCCCAGTCAACGGCCCTGCTGGATGGGAATTCTGGGAGTTGCGGTCCCCAGAGTGGGGAAAGCGAAAAGGTAGGGCACACGGGCAAATAGAGCGAGGCAGGTAGAAGAAAATAAATATCTCCGTGGGGCAGGTAGAACAGTCCTACTTTCCCCCCTCCTCCCACTCAGCTTGCTCTACCGGAATAACCTCCTGCCCGTCCCCACTTCTCGACTCGGACTGCAGCTTCCCTGGGAGCTGGTGAGCCGCCCGTCAGCTCAGCCCCTTCTTACCGCAGCTTGGCTTGTTGAAGGTGGAAGTTGTCCTCTTGCTCCTCCCACGTCTTGAAGTGCTCTGCCTCCTTCTCCCGCTGCAGCATTTCCAGCTCTTGCTCCCGCATGGCCTTCTCCCGCTCCCGCTCCAGGCGCAGCTGCTTCACCTGGCGAGCGCAAGGTAGGGCAGAGTCACTCAAAGCACCGAGCAGAGCAGCCGAGCCTGATGCCTTCAAAGGCCCGAACTGGGAGCCCGCGTCGGTGCTTGTCCCACAGAACAAATTCGGCATAGTTACAGGACCGAGAAACAAAAATTTGTGTGAGAAAAGAGACACCTGTACGCAGAGGAGCCATAACTTATGGAAGATCCAAGAAATCTAACCTAATGAGGAGACCCAAAACCCTTTCACTGAGCCCTTTTAAAAGCTGCATGTTTCATGAGATTCAGAGGGGATCTGCTGGCAGCATACAGGTGTGTGAGGGGGTGTCCCACACAGAGACCTGTTCTGCCCCGCAGAGGAAGGCAGAACGCGCTCCAACGGAGCAAAGCTCAGGGAACCGGGTTCCATTTGGATGCCAGGAAGCACCTCCTGACAGTTGGGACCCCGAGGGTGTGGAATCTGCTTCCACGGGAGGTGGTTGAGGCCCCATCGGTGCGGGTGTTCAAGGATAGGCTGGACGTCCACATGGCGGGCATGTCGTGAGCGGAGCTGGGGGTCAGACTAGATGGCCCGGGAGGCCCCTTCTGACTTGCTCTGTTTCTATGTTTTTCAGGTCAGAATCATTTTTTACACACACCATCCCCTGAATGCAATTAAGCAGCACTGCAAACAAGTAAGCTGCAGATCCTGGGAAACTGAAATTCTAAATGAGAATTCGGATAAACAGGGGAATGATCAGGGTTCCATTTAAGATGGTTTAATTAAACCAGCATCTGTCTGGCTATTCATATTTTTCTGGAACATTGCTCCAAACCCACCCACATAAAATTTATAGTATGTTGTTAGTTGAACACAACCTTCTGAGCACATGAAACGAAAGCATGTTAACCATCTTCGGTGTCCCCTTTTTTCACCCTAAAAATTGTTATGTAAAAGAAGCCTGTGCTAGTGAACCGTGAGATCCCATCAAATATAAACTTTCCAAATATAGACTGTGGATCTATTAGACTGTGACACTTACAATGTCATACAGAAGAGAGACCTGAGACACGCAGCTGAGAGGGCTCCAGATTTTCCTTACTGCAAGTTCACCCTGAAGGGCCTCTGAATGGTGATCACGGGAAGGTTGGCCACTATTCATTGGGGGGGGGGGGAATGGGGGAGCAAAAAAAGGAAGTCCTGGGAGAGGCTCAAGGGACGGGCTTTGGATCTGCTGGAGGATTAAGCTTTAATCCTCGCCTTGTGCATTTTTCATAAATTTAAGGCTCTAGAAAAATATTCAGAGGAGCTGGACACAAATGCCTAGATACACAGCCCAAATTGCTGGAAAAAGAAAAGGGTTCCGAAGGTAGAAATGATGCTGCGAGGCTTTTCAAAAGTAGCAGGGTTCGAGCGGGCAGCACAGCTGTGAGACGGAACAGTGCTGCGCAGATCCTGCAAGCAGGCTGGGGATCTTCAGGTGAACGACAGCACAGAAACACGGGTGAAGCACGGATATGGAATTCCTGTCCGAGAAATCCTACCCTTTAGAGCATGGGTCCTCAGACTACAGCCCACGGGCCAGATCCGGCCTGCCATGGACTCTTTATCTGGCCCACCTCGGAGCTCCTGGACTAGCTCTGAGAAAATGATCTCCGAGTGAGTCCAAACGCTCTCAGCAGGTGCAGGCATTCGTGGAAACTGAGCAGGGAGTCAGCACACACGCCATGTGGTCAATTCTTCTCCACTTCCATTGCCTCCTCACAGTGCCGTCCAGCGGAACTTTTTCGGGTGGTGCAGGGGCTGGTACAGCCAAGCCCAAAGCAAGATCCTGTACTGCCCTCAATAACCCCCTGTGACGACTTTGCCCAGCACTTCAAGGAGAAAGTCGCTCAGAATCGTCACGAGCTGGACTCCACTAATGGCTCAGATTCCTTAGGGGAGGTGCCAGTGTTGCTGTCTGGTCACACATTGTTGGATGAGTTTCAGTTATTGTGGCCTGATGAAGTGGACAAGGTGCTTGGACAAGTACGTCCCACCACCTGTTTACTGGACCCCTGTCCATCGTGGCTGCTGACCAAAGCCAAGGACGGGATTGGTTCCTGGATCCAGGAGGTCATCAACGCCTCTCTGAAGGACGGCCGGGTGTCTGCCCCTCTAAAGGAGGCAGTGGTCAGGCCGGTCCTGAAGAAGGCGTCCCCGGATCCAGAGATGGCCACCAATTATAGACCAGTGGCCAACATCCCATTCCTGGGCAAGGTGCTGGAGCGAGTGGTGGCGGGACAACTCCAAGCACTCTTGGATGAAATGGATTATCTGGACCCATTTCAGTCCGGCTTCAGACCCGGGTACAGTACTGAATCTGCCTTGGTCGCCCTGTACGATGACCTGTGCAGGGAGAAGGACAGGGGGAGTGCGTCTCTGTTGGTTCCCCTGGACCTCTCAGCAGCTTTCGATACCATCGACCATGGCATCCTTCTGGATAGGCTAGCGGGACTGGGGGTTGGAGGCACTGCTTTGCAGTGGTTCCGCTCCTACCTAGACGGCCGATTCCAGAAGGTGGTGCTGGGGGACTGTGGCTCTGTGCCATGGCAGATATGCCATGGAGTTCCACAGGGGTCCATTTTGTCCCCCATGCTCTTCAACGTCTACATGAAACCACCGGGAGAGGTCAGCAGGAGATTTGGGCTGTGGAATCATCCATACGCTGATGATACCCAGCTCTACCTCTCGTTTTCCACCAATCCAGGTGAGGCGGTGGCTGTCCTGAACCGGTGCCTGGCCGAGGTAATGGGCTGGATGAGGACCAATAAACTGAGGCTCAATCCAGACAAGACGGAGGTCCTGCTGGTAGGTGGTTCGAACTCCTGGGTAGGTGACTCGGATCTTGTCCTGAATGGGGTAGCGCTCCCTCTAAAGGACAGGGTCCACAGCTTGGGAGTGCTCCTTGGCCCAGAGCTGTCCCTGGATGCTCAGGTGACGGCAGTGGCGAGGAGCACTTTCCATCAGCTTCAGCAGATCCATCAGCTGCATCCCTACCTGGAAGACAACTGCCTAGTGACAGTGACACATGCATTGCTTGCTTCCCGGTTGGATTTCTGTAATGCGTTCTACGTGGGACTGCCCTTCAAGACAGTCCGGATACTTCAGATGGATCTCAATAGAGCAGCCAGGTTGCTGACGGGGACTGGGCGTTATTCTCATATAACTCCAGTCCTCTACCAGCTTCCCTGGCTTCCCATTGAAGTCCGGGCTCAATTCAAGGTGCTGGTTATCACCTATAAAGCCCTTAACGGCTTGGGACCTGGATACCTAAAGGAACGCTTTTTTCCATATTTGCCCTGAGATCGGCAGCGGATGATCTCCTCCGGGAGCCCTCCGTGAAAGATATCAGGAGGCAAAGTACTCGGAGCAGGGCTTTCTCTGCGGTGGCGCCCCATCTGTGGAATGCACTCCCCAGAGAGGTCCGCCTGGCGCCGTCGTTATTTGTTTTTCGGCGCCAGGCCAAGACCATTTTATTCAAACAGTATTTTAATAATCTTTAATATTTATGGTTTTAATTGTGCAGCCAGTGTGCTTCCAAGTTTTAATGGTAATTGTATTGTTTTATTTATTTGTTGATGTGAGCCGTCCCGAGGCTGTGTAGCAATGGGGACGGCATATAAAAACTTTAAATAAATATTGCAAAAGCTCAACTGTGCATGCGCTGGATCTCCCCCCGCCCCCTTTCCCCTGCCACCCACTGCATGCATATACAGAGCGGGAATATGGAGCAGGAAACAGAAGAGAGGAAGAGAAAGACGAAGACACTAAAAAAGGACTGAAGGTGAGAAAAATGTAACTTTTAAAATTTATTTTTAATTATGCGAGCCACGGCCGCCTCACTGAGCCTGGGGGCAGTTGCTTGACGGCGGCGGCTTGCACAAGGCCTTCTCAGGGCAAGGCACTGCTGTCGCGCGGCTGCCCTGCTTCTCCCCACGGCGGAGATTGGTGGGCAGTGCCCCTCCAGCCCCCCCCCGCCCCCCTCCCAGAGCTGGGCGAGCGCCTGTGAGGAAATCTTCCTCCGGCTCAGAAGCGGGGCGGCAGCGAGGAGCCCGGAAGGCCTCGACGGAGGCGAGCACGCCCTCACGGCTCCCCCTCGGGTCGTGCGCTCCCTTTCAGCAGGCGGCACGGCAGCATCTTGGGCTTCTGCTGCAGCCCGAGCGAGCAGAACAAACATTTTTAACCTTTTAATTAATTTTGAAATTATAATTATTTAAAATTTATTTTAATTTAATTTTAAATGCATTTTATTTTAATCATTTTATTTTATTTTAATCATTTTAATATATTTTAATTTATTTTAATCATTTTAATTTATTTTAATCATTTTAATATATTTTATTTTTAATCCTTTTAATTTATTTTATTTTTAATCCTTTTAATTTATTTTATTTTTAATCATTTTTAATTTATTTTGATTTTAATTTTTCAAACTATAGCTTGGCCCCGCAACAGCCTGAGGGACAGTGAACTGGCCCCGTTTAAAAAGTTTGAGGACCCCTGGTTTAGAGGCACAGGATCAGCAGTGCTCATTTAACACGTGAAAAGAAGGCATCTGCCCATCGACAGAGACGTTCCCCATTGTACATCTCAACAACTGAACCATTTGGCCAAAGTTCCTCCTCCAGAAGCAGTCAAAAGTTAGACCCTCTTCCTTGCAAAAGGGACCGGCCCGCAGCTCAGGATTCCTCCTCCTCCTCAGAGACCCCTCCCACTGGCTCCACATCTTGGTCATTCCCAGGAACTGCCTGGCTCGGAGAAGCACCTTGAAGTAATTACCTCCACCTCCTCCATCTCAGAATCTTGACCTCGCCCACCCTCCACAATTGCCCTGTAGGATGTCTCACACTCCGATTCCAAATCCTCATCTGGAATGCAGCCAGCAGTCCTTAAGAACCATCACCCAAGACCGCCATTCTCTCTCCTGCCATTACGCTGTGCCTAAGACGACACACCCAGGATTGCGGACCTCACTCCATCTCTTTTTTCCAGCTCTTACCTTCTGCAGCTCCAGGCGGTTTTCCTCCTGGATCCGCTTGTTCCGGTCCTTCAACTCCTTTTCTTCCAGGTGGCCAATGCCCTTCTTTTCAAGAGCCTAAAACAAAAAAAGCCCCAAAATAAGTAAGAGCCACACTCCGGAAAGCCTCCCATTCACACGGCATTGCCCAGAGATCCTCTGGAAGTGAAACAGAAAGGAAAACCCCCAAACTGACAGCTCACAGGACTACAAGCCAACTAAAGAAACTAACATACAATATTGGTTACCCTCATTAAATGTGTGATGATTGGCTGCAGTAATAGCCATGATTAGGTTATTTAATTGCTTTGTAAAATGGAGTTTTACAAGGTGTAATCAGTGCTATACAAGATTTTAGAAAATAGACACACTTTGCGTTTTAAACCTGCATTCTAGAAAGATATGCAGGCCAAAACCTTGTCAGCTTCACACTAAAGCAGATGAAGTTTTGCACAGAATGAGTCATGCCACATCAAATATCGTGTGAGCACAACTGAGTTTGTGGCTGGGACTGAGCAGGATGATGTCCATCTGAAATTTAACTCAGGTTGTTTTTACTGGGATGGAATTGGATGTCGTTGTGAAGGATCAGCAGAAGCAGATACTGCTGTTCAAAGGACTGGAATTTCAAGTTCACAGGCAGCTATACCCTTATAGTTTCCCATAAAAGCAAGATCAAAGATCTAATAGTTCCATTAATGATGCAATTGCAGTAATATGTAATTAATATTATGTAATATTAATGACAAGTAGCTGTGGTAAGCCATCCTGAGGCTGTGCAAAGGATGGGATAAAAATGTTTTAAATAAATAATAAATAGTAATAAAGAAACTGAACTTCAGTGTGGGTTTACAGTGCAATCTTATGCACATCAGCTCAGAAGGAAGCCATACTAAGCTTCGCAAGGTATCTCCCATGCTGCACTGCAGCCTGGCTGGAGTAAGAGTAGACAGACAAGAGGAAATGTTCACGGGAAAGAAGGATCTAAAGCTGAGCCTGCTTTTAGCTCCTGAAGGTACAGGCATGCCAGAAGCAGCAGGAATATCAGGTTTTTGTAGCCTCTCTGCTCCCCGCTCTGGATTGGAAGGGCTTCAGCATTGCAGCTCACCCAGTGCCACGTTGACCACCCCGTGCCAAGGCTGCACCGGGTATCCTGCAGAGAAAGAGGCATCAAAGGAGCTTCCGGAGCTCCCTGGTCAAGGTTCAGCAATTGCAACTGGTGCGGAACTGGGCTGCTCGGCTGGTAACTGGTCCTGCCAGAGCAGCCCATAAACGCCAGTGCTGAAAGAACTTCTCTGGTTACCGGTTGTGGCCCAGGCCCAATTCAAGGTGCTTGTACTGTCATAGAAAGCCCTAAATGGCTTGGGGCCCGGCTACTTAAAGGACCATCTGCACCCATATATACCTGCCCACCCCCTTAGATCAGCCCAGGAGGCCCTTCTGTGAGAACCACAAGCCCTTGGGGAGATGAGAAGGGGGGCAACCAGGCGCAGGACCTTTTCCGCTGCTGCCCCCCATCTCTGGAACTCCCTCCCCAGGGAAATCCGCCTGGCGCCATCTCTATTTTCCTTTCAGCACCAGGAGAAGACATATCATTTTAGGAAATTTTCTAATGTTTAGCCTGTACGCTGTGGTCCTTTTTAATTGTTTTTATAGTTAACTTATTATGTTTCAATTGGCTTTTAATGTGTTTTTATTCTGCTGGTATGTTGTACATTGTAAGCCACCTAGGAAGGCCTCGGCAATTATAGGCAGCTTATAAATACATGTAAATAAATAAAAAAGTTAGTTTTCTTTCAGTCTTGCTAGTCCACCTACAGAGAAAGGCATGTTTTGTGAGCGCCACAGCATCTAGTTCCTGAAATTAGCTCTCTTCCGGACTCACCTTGCTCCAAATGAAAGCGCCCAGCAGGTTGTTGTCTCCAAAGGGATTGTCAGTGTTGGTGTAACCCATATACTCTTCCCCCCACCCCATCTTCTCCCGCTTCTTCCGTTCCTTGGCCTCCTTCTTGGCCAGGCGGCGGGCCCGTTTCTCTTCAGGTGTCTCGAGCGCCTTCATCAGCTCCCGCTGCTGTTTCTTCTCTTCCTTCTGCCTCAGGCGCTCCTGGAGGCTGAGCTGCCCGTCCAGGTCCTCCCTGGAGCTCTGTGACTGGGAGGGCGAGGACGACATCTCCAAGGAAACAGATGACTTGGACTCAGAACGCTTCCGGCTTCTCTTCCTCCTCCATGCGCTGTTGTGGCCTCGTTTTTCTGGGGAAGAATCTGAAGAGGGAAAGCGGTCCTGGGAACATTTCTTGTGCTTCTTGTGGTGACGTTCCCCACTTTTTTCTTTCCTTTTCTGACATCTTTGGCTCTCTTCCTCAGAGCTGGGGAAAAAGATTTCAGTATACAGATCAGCCTAGGAACGGGACTCAAGAGATCAGCAGAACACACATTCACCAATGTGCTTCTCACAGGACCTGCCCATCACAAAAACAACTCTTCCCGGCTTCTATTGCCTCCTCACAGTGCTGCCCAGTGGAGCTTTTCCGGTCCAAAAAATCTGGTGACACCAGCAGTAGCCTGCTGTGATAACTTTGCCCAGCACTTCAAGGAGAAAATCGCTCAGATTCTCCACGAGCTGGACTCCACAGCTGATAGGCTCCAGTATGGGAGGCGTCCAGAGCGCTATCCATCGTTGTTGGATGACTTTCAGTTGTTGCAGCTTGAGGATGTAGACAAGGTGCTCAAAATGGTGTGCCCTACCACCTGTTCCCTTGACCCTTGCCCTTGGTGGCTGCTTACTAGAGCCAGATTGGGGATTGGTACCTGAGTCCAGGAGGTCATCAACGCCTCACTCAGGGAGGGCCGGGTCCCTTCCTCCTTGAAGGAGGCAGTGATCCGGCCTGTCCTGAAGAAGGCGTCCCTGGACCTAGAGATGGCTGCCAACTTTAGACCGGTGGCCAATATTCTATTTTTGGACAAGGTGTTAGAGCAGGTCATGGTGGGACAACGCTAAGCACTCTTGGATTAATTGGATTATCTGGACACATTTCAGAAGATGGTCTCTACCCGGAGGAGGGCTTTCTCTGCAGTGGTACCCAGACTCTGGAAAGTGCTCCTCAGAGGTTTGCCTGGTACTGACTTTATATTCCTTTTGGCACCAGGTGAAAACCTTTTTACAGCGGTATCTCGACTCACAAATGCCTCATTTCACAACCAAATTGGGTCGTGAATGAAAATTTCATAAATTTTGACTCAGGTCACGAACTCTGCATTGAGTGGCGACTGTGATCACGGCCATCTCCCCTGCGCCACCCCAGTGGGCACGAACACAACCACAATCTCGACCATCTACCCCCACAGCACAATCGCACCTGTCTCCCACCCCCACCAGCGCACCGGGACAACAGGCGTGTGCAGGGATGACGAGCGTGATCACGGTCGTGCTGCGGGGGTGGGGAGATGGCCACGCTCGTGCTCAGGGTGTGGGGGGGAGATGGTCACAATCTTTGTTGTTCTTTGTCACTTTGCTTCACATTTTTCTGAATTAAAAAAAATAGTTATAGAACAGATTAATCTCATTTACATTGAACCTTCTGGGGAAATTTAACTTGGGTCACGACCAATTTGGGTCACAACCAGAGTCCTGGAACAGATTAAGTTCATGAGCCAAGGTACCACTGTATTTGCCAGCCATTTTAAAAACTAGGACATTTAATTGGCTTTTAATTATTCACAGTCGCACTTTGTTTTTATTTTTGACTTTGTCCTTACTGGTAATACGTTTCTGTTGGTTTCATGCATATTCTTAATTGTTGTTACTTGTTGCTTTGATTATTGTTTTGGTTTCTGTAAGCTGTCCTGAGAAGTTTTGCATATAGGTTGGGATATAAATATTTTTAAATAAATAAATAAATAAATCACCACAGATTGTGCTTACCAGGCCTCCAGAAAATTTATTCCCATCTAAATTCCTGTAGAACTATTAAAAACTATTAGAAATCTATTGCAATTGTGGCAGGATTCTATGTATTACATGTTTTATTTTGAAGTAAGCCCTACTGGAAACATTTGATCTGTTGCAATTTACCAGAACCAAGTATACCCCTAAGATCAGGCAGAGCACGAACTTCAAGATATGGGCTGCTTAGGCCTTGCGTTCTCCAGAAAGACTCCGTACAAACCCGGATACAAAAGAATGCTGGAACTGTGCATGAAACCCTACGTAGTGCCACGTTTTGCCCTTCTTCTATAGCCCTTCTCAAAGCCTTTCCAGATGCGTTGCACCACAACGCCCAGTATCTCCAGCATATTGCTGAAAGTTATTAGGAAGCTGTTTAAGTACAAAAATACACGAACCCCATTTCCACGCCTAACGACGGGGCACGTGTGAAGGGAGCACGGTTGGGAGAAAAATCCGTTCTCCGCACGTGATCAGGCCTCCCAGCTATTGCCACTTTAACCCCGCTCCAGCTTTCGCCTGCGCGCAGAGCCAGCGGGTCATGGGGCTCCTGCACAAGAGGCCGACCCGAAGCACGCCTTTTCCCGGGAAAGACCTCCCAAAGGGCGCCGCTCTACCCAGGGCCCTCTATGGTTCCAGCCCTTCTCTCCCCCCCCCCTCACGCGTCTTCGCCATACCTGCCCTCCCGCTCCCTTCTCCTCCTCCGACTCGTTCTCTCCTCGGATCCGGAACGTTTTCTCCTCCGACGCCGTTCCCGGGAGGGGGACGGGGAGCGGGACCGGGAGCCCATGGCCGCCCGAGGCCCACCACGGCCTTACTTCCGGCCTCCCATAGGGAAGGCATGTAGGTCCTTCCCCGCCGCGTTCAGACTGAGGCTGCCCTTTCCGCGCCTGATTAAAAATGGGGTGGGGTCTTTTGCTCCCACGCCGACCTCTCTCCTCTCCAGGGGCCGTGGGGCGGGGGGAGGAATATTTAATCTTGCTGCTCGTGGAAAGGGAGAAATTGGCCGCTTTTCAGGCGACGAGTTAGACACCTCACTCGCTGCTCTCGCTCCATCCGTTCCCCTCCACGAGGTGCTGCCAAGGCAGGCCCACACTGCAGGGCTGTTGCACCCAATGCTCCCCATACTTACAGGAAGCAAGTAATGGACTGAGTTCATCGACCGTGGCTTGGCCATAATTTCCTCCCGCTGCCTCAAACTTTCTAATATTAACAGTGGACTACACTGGAGGGCTGGCAGAAGCACCTCTGTACCCTAATTGCGCCCCCGCCGGCGATATGGGACTAATGGACTATGAACTTCAAACTTAATAAAAAATATCAGAGTCAAAGGTACTCGGAGTTACTGCCCAGTTCCACACTTTATCTGAAAACCAATAGTGGTGTGCTTAAATTTATGCCTCTAAATATACTGCCCAGGGAGATCTGATTCAGCTGTGAAGCAGTACAGAAATGAAACAATGTATTAACAGTGGCCTACACTGCAGGGCTATTTAAGTCACTCCCTGTCACTTCAACCCGTGAGAGAGAGCACGTGAGCAGGAAGAGGGGCTGCTCCTCTGCTTCTCATCCGTACACAGACATTCCCACATGCAATTCTTTTGCGGTTTGATGTCTTTTGCAGTTTTTTGAACCCTCGGAATCAAAGATAGGCAGCTTTTGCTAGCAGCTTTGGGAATCCTTTGTAAAGTCCTTTCCCGCCACCTGGTGGTGAAAGAAGGAGTTTGCTCACATGGGCTTCATAGGCAGCATCTATGTAAACATAAGCCGGTTTTCCGTTTTAGTTCCCAAGACAAGTTTCATGCCACCTTCAGTCCCCATTCAGCTGAGAACCTACAAGATTCACACTTCGTGAATCCATGAGTGCACCAGAGCAAGTTTTGTGCTTGTCAGAATTTTGAGACACATTCCCCTGAACAAAAATTCTGACAAGAATGCGCATGCTGGGAGAAGGCATCCACAAAAGTATGTGTGTGAGAGAGGAAATGCATTTTAAAAGGATTACATAAGAGAAAATTGCTCGCAAAAGCTTTATCTTAGGCAAACATTCATTAAAATGTGTCTGTTGGGAGAAATGGGCACCCAAGAGACACATTAATTTTCATGCTGGATTTCTTTTTAAAAAGTCACACAATTCCTCTTTGTACATAAAGAATAATTCAGCTCTTCCTGTTTGGAAATCAATATACAGCTTTTTCTGTGTATTCTACAACTTTCTGCACCACAGAGACAGTTCTGTGGCAGTCAGTTGATGCAATTTAAAAAACCACTGTTCAAAGTTGTTGTTATGTGTCAACAAGTCTTCTTCAATGGGCAGGAATGCAAAAAAAGAAAAAGAAAAGTTTCCATCCAGAATGCAATGCCCAGAAATACCTTTTTTAGCTGGAGACAGACTCCATGTCTGTCAAAACTGAAATACCAGTCACATGCCAGCACTTCTGACTTCGCAATCATCTTTTGCGGGTACATCCAGAGCTTCAGATGGAGACATTTCTGTTGCTATTTCTAGTGCTGAAGTTTGTCACGGTTTCCTCCTCCCAGGGGTCCCATTGCATGCCGAGTGCGGACGGGGAACTGCCAATGCCGTCTTGTGGAAAGCCAAAAGAATTCCAGGTCACTTTTGATTCTGTCCACATCCTGCCTCCTGGTGGAGGATGTTTATACCAGGAGGCAGAAAATATCAAGTCTTATGGGTATTAACCAGCCTGCTAAAAGCATCAGAATAGAAGATGCAGCTTGGGCTGAACTTTGAGGTGAATCCAGGGCCCTACAGCTTAGAACACTCCCAAATAGCTGCTCAGGGCAGCAAACAGTCTGGAGAGAGCAGATGGGCCTGGCATTGGCATTTCCAGCAACAGGACTCGGCTCGTTGCAACAGTCTCATTTTTAAAGCACGCAATGGCCAGGGGTTGGGCAGCTGGACACATCCTTAGTTAGAGATGCTCATTTTATCATTTTGCTTTAAATGTATAGCAAATTCTTCTTCAGTGGGCTTCAAATAAAGGAAGAAATGAACTTTGTTTTATTTATGCAGTGCTTTGGAGGAGTTTAAAAACACAAAATTCAAACACCAAGTGTTCTGTTCTGTTCTGTTCTGTTCTGTTCTGCAGAATGTTATGAAATCAGATGGTGATGCATGAAAGGCCTGGTCTTTGGTCTCCCCCCCACACCCCCACCCCAGTCCCGAGGGTCTCAATTATCAGGAAAAGAGAAGCAACACAGCAGATGCTTCAAACATTTATTTTGTGTGTAATACAATCAACAGTGTAAGTCATACCCCAGAGCAAAGCTGACAAAAAGCAAAAGATCAGGCATAGTCTTTATACAGTACAGATTGGTAAGCAGGTTGGACCACAGATGTTCAGGTGTTCTCCAGTTCCAGTTCAGTAAATCCTGGCTTCCCACACACCTGTGCATTCATTGGTGGGTTTTTATGGCTAGGTGTTTTGCAGGTATATTCCGAGAATTGTGTCTTGTGACATTTGGTATCTTGCTAGATGTCCCTCTGACCTAGCTTGTAGTTGGAATTAGAGAAGGTTTTCTGTCAGCCATGTATCCTTGACATTTGCAGTTTTGCTAGGTATTACCTTCTGGGTATCTAGGTGATTTAATATCTAATTCATTAACTAATCCGTGACCTTAGACATTTAAGCTTTCAGTGATTAATTGATGTATAGGTTTAAACACACAGAGCTGTTCTGAGCAACCTCGTAACAATGGTGACAGCTACCCAGAGGCCTATGGTCCACAATCTGGCCAAGGCTATGATCCACTGGGCCACAGAAACAGTCTGTGTACAGCGCCCGTGCAAGTTGCAGAAAACAAGCAGATGGCTGGCTTTTCTAAGAAATCCCCCCTTTCAGGTCTTTCAGGATCTCATTTCGGTCCTGTGTTCCCTCAGGCGAGCAACACAAAGCAAAGGTGGGATTAGGTCTACCATGACAGACGGGGAAGGCACTCACTGGGCCTTTGAATGCGATTTCAGCACAGAAGCACACAGAATTAGAAAAGAGACAGTATTTCCAGTGTGTTGAAATCTACAAGGTCCAGCGGCGCCTTCGAACATAGTGAAAGTTACCAGCAGCATCTGCAGGTGACAGAACAAAGGCACTTAACAGTATTGCTCCATGGAGGGGACAGCCGTCCAGCTGAGCAGAGGGGGGCTGAGGACTGCCGGCTCCAGGCTCACTGGTAGGAATGGGGATAGAGTGAGACTGCACCTGCCTGTTAGTAACTTTATTTGCGGCTGTTTTTCTGGTCTTTTGTCGCAGGACTACGATATAGGCCACCAACCAGGCGAGGTGGCACAGGGCCTGCATAACCAAGCAGAAGATGAAGACCCTCCTTTTAAGGCACTCCAGTTGACTGGCGAGCCCATCAAAATAGGGTCCTTTCTTGGCCCTCACTAAGTCATCCACAATCTTCCCCAGGTGATCTGCTAGTCCCTGTATAATTTCCCGACGCTCATCTATCCCAAGGCAGCAGTCTGTCCAGCTGTACTTCTGACACACGCTCCTCTCCTCTGCTACCAGAAAATCTAGGGCTACGCGCCGTATGGCCACCCGGAGCTGGGTTTGCTGATCGGCTGCCAATCCCAGAGCCTGGGCAGTCTTCTCAGTCAAGATGTCTACCACGGCCAGCAGCTTGAGCATCCGATTATTCAGATACCCACGGGGCCAAGTGCTTCTGAAAAAGCCCCCATAAAGGGTGGATGGCCTGAGCATCCGTTTAGTCTGATGCCCACGGGGCCGAGTGCGGCTGAAAAAGCCCCCATAAGGGGCGGATGGCCTGAGAATCTGATTAGTCTGATGCCCACGGGGCAGAGTGTCGCTGAAAAAGCCCCCATACCAGTTGGCTGGCCCATAGGTCTGCAGACCTCCTTCGGGTGGCCGCTCCTCCTTTCCCCGCCCCTGGCATCCTCCAGAAGCTATCAGTGTTTCATCCCGAGCTCTCTCCCTCCCAGCCTCTGCTTGTGCTACCCTTTTCTGGATGGTTATAGCTTCCCGACCGAGGAGGGAGACGTGGGATTGTAAGAGGGCAGGATGGCCTTTCCCTGTCCAGTTCTGGGGGAGGACAGAGTAGAAACAGGTCCACACCCCCTCGCAGGAGTGTCCTTTCGCGGCCAGCGAGGTCCTGCCTTCACACAGCTCCCTGTGTTTAATGCTGTAGGGGTCATAGGCTCCGAAGGGCAGCTTTCCCCCTGGGAATTTCCACGCCCCGTTTTCAAAGCAGATGCCAGGTTCATACTCCAGGTACCAACAGCACCATATCCTCCTGCTTCTCAGCTCTGTTTCTGAGCACTGCTGCTGCGTGCTCAAGCTGCTGTTTGACCCCACTGTAGCATTAGGGCATGGGAACCAGGGGCTGGTGAAGTTGGAACAGAGGACGAGCATCTGGGGATGCCTGTTCCCCCAGTTGCCTGCCAGGATGATGCAGGTGCAGGAGCGGCTAAGCCTCACCATGTAGGTGGAAGTGGATGTCTTACTGCAGGAGATGAACCGGGCCCTGCACTGTGCTCCAGCCTGCCATTTACGGAGGGACCCATTGGAGCTCCACCCCACATCAAACTTAGGAGAGGAGGGGTCGGTGGAGCACCAGGCACATGAGTCCCACAGGCCCATACAGACTTTCCAGGGCCAAGAGGGGCCCCCCCGGGGGGGTCCTGGGCAGATCCTGGAAGGGCTAAGATTAAGGGCATTGGATTCCCCCAGGGTAGCATTTTTATTTTCCTCCAGGGGCTTCAACACGGGGACGGGGACGGGCCTAACACCAGCAAGGGATGTGAGCACAAATATGAAGACCACACAGGCAT